AATGGGTTTTACAGCACGTGCCGTTTTGTTTTTGTTATTGTCTATGGAAAAATACGCAGCATAACCTTTGTTTATAATTTATGACAAAGTTATTAAAGTCCGCACAGCTGCTATGTCTATTCAAAAGCCATATCACAGTTCATAAAGAATTTGCATCATTTTGTTTTTGATTAATGTTTGGAAAATAATCTGTGTCTAAGGTTTTCATTTTGCCATTTTGATATCTGCTGATGCAAGGTTCAAGTTTTTCTGGGAAATTATAAATGTGACATAAATAATTTTCTAAGATTAATATATCTTTGATTATTTTTTAGCAGCTTCTGAGTTTGCTTTGGAATGTTATTCCCCTTTAATGAGTCAACATTCTTGAATAAAAACGTTAACTAAACGCATAAACAGCCATCTTCATTGACTAAATCAATATTTATTCTTAAATACTGTTAAAAGACGTCACCAATATCTGGCAAAGACGTCAATAAACTCGATTTTAGCACATATCATTGAGATTAATTCTCAGTTCAAATCATAGAAAGGAGAAGAAAATTCTTAGAATTTAATAAAAGCCAAAGAAAACTTGCGCAATTAATTACTAAATATATTTTTTGGCTGCGATCACATTGTATTTTGTTTGGCTGCAGTTAGATAAAAGTTGTTCTGATCTCTTTTGCCATTTCATTATTTATAAACGCCATTCGCTTAATTGGTGGCAACAGGTGATACACCTGCCTCATGCCCCTTGCCACAACATCTACCCACGTTTTGCTATGGTATTATGACCACGTTTGGCACAGAAATTGGTGGCATCTCTCGATGCTGTGCTGGTGGCCATCGGCTGCTCATAATTTATTTGCATGCGGGATAAGTTGATATTTATTGGCATGAAGATAAGTTTTGTGGCCACATTCGAGACTCATTTATTTTTAGTTGCATTTCCATGCCTTGCTGCGTTTCTCCACCCTCCAAAGTGGCAGGGAAAAACGTATAATAAATTATTCGCACATTTAGAAATCAAAATTTATGTGCTCTAATTATTTATTATTTATATCCGTCGTCCACCCTCTTAAATATTATTTTCCGATCTCTTACATTCTGATTTTCTGATAGAGATTTTCATTTAAATTTCATGATTGCTTGCGATTAATAAATGTAGATTAAACAAATAGTTATTGTTTTATATTTTTTATCATTTATTAATTATGGTTTTCAAATTTATTTAAATGCTATCTCAGCTGGCACTTTTCTAAACCATTTTATTTTTATTTTTTACAGCTTTCAAGAGGCGTTCTGGTAAGTAAATGATATGAGCTAAGATTTAATCTAAATAGAGCAATAAATTTAGTCGGAAATTGCAAGCATTAACTGGCTTCTTAGTGGAAATTATATAAATTATAAATAATCCCAGATTAGTTAGTCTGAAATCAAGCTTCGCAGGAACAGTTCGCCTTTCTTTCAATATTCAGCATTTTTTTAAAGCATTTTATTTATTTTTAAATCATGATTTAGCTTTCATTCCTCATAGAAATAATATATATTTCTACAATAATTAGTCATCGGATTTGGTAAACAGTAATAAAGTCATTAAGAAAGCACGCTTCTATAGAGGTATAGCTCGTGGGCCAGACGAAACGCATTAAAGCGAATTGCAATCGAGGAAACTGAAATCTAAATGGTGATCTAAAATCGAAATTAAATTGAGATAGGTAAAAGGTATAGTGAGATTTTTGAAGGGGGTTTTTCCGGGGGGAAGGTACCTGTATACCTATCCGGTGGGTCACGTTCTGCTCGGCGCTAATCGCTCAATTTGCCTCACTGCTAGCACGCGGAAATGTGTGGGAGGGCATGCGAAAGCGTTTCACTTGCGAAAAAAGACGAAGTTATACACCGGGAGAAATATATATATGTTAAATAATATTATTTAATAGAAAACATACTCATAAATGTTTATTTTTAAATTTAGATTGACTATTTAAATGTTAAAATGAAAACCGTAAAATGCAAATCTTAAGTAAACTTTGTTAGTAACAAAGATTCCCAAAACCTATGATAAATATTTAAAAAATCTTAGAAAGAATTTGAAGGATATTGCTTAAAGATTATCTAATAATCTTTTAAATATTTCACGTAAAAAAATAATATTTTCCTGTGCAGTGAAGAACGGGGTACAGTGAGGCAATGCTAATTAAATTTCGCTAGTCCGGGGCACGGCGCCCTCAGTCTTAATTTGTTTGCATGCTCGGTCGAGCGGAAAAACAACAACAAATTGGCATAATGATCTTGTACGATCAACGGGGCAACATCATAATGTTCATCGTGATAATGATCATGCTGAACTGACTGACAGGCGGACTTGTTTTCCCTAACGCTTGCCGCTTGTTCAATTGCTATTTTGACTTTGAACTTGCCTCGTTCTGTTGTTTGTTGCTCGCCTGTAATTTTACAATTTCTGCACTGTGAGGGATCGACAGAGCTTCCCCCATTTTATATTATATAGTATACTATATAGTATTGTACAATCCGTGGACCATTTCCTACCCACTCAACGTGACGTTCAGAGATTTAAATTTAGCCACAATGACAAGATAAAGAATGAAACTATAACTGGGCTCCGGTCTTAATATGGAACGACATTTCAATTGCGATTGCTATTTTTAGGCATTGTCATCTCGCCGTCTCGGCTTAATGATTTCTTTATTTTTTTCTTCCATTTTCTTTTATTTTTTGCATATTGAGGGGGCAACTTTAAATCTCTCGATTGTGTGTCTTGTGGCAAGGTTAACCTGAGTCGAGTAAGAAAGTCACTTCAATCGGGAGTCTTTACTCTTTTTGGTTTTATTAGTAAAGATTTTTGCATTTCTACCTTTTTGTAAAATCAAAATGTTTTAGTTTATTTCTACACAAGAACATTAATTATAAAACAAAAACTCTTAACGACCGAAATAACAAAGCAATTCAAAAATGCATTTTTACTTTCAAAAGATCTCTTTCAAAAGTCATATATTATTCAAGAAATTCAAGAATACCTTTAGAAACAGCTAATTAAACAAAAACCTTGGTATTTTTATCAGTAAGAAGGCACAGCAATTAATTCAATGCATTTAATTATTTTTTTAGTTTTGAATAATAATCATGCATCATTATTTTAGTCATATGACTTCCCCATAAAAATGGACTTCCTGCTTTTTGCGCAGCTCTTTGAACTCATTGAACTGAAATACCCTCGAAAATGGGCAAAAACAATTTGCTTTCAAGAATATTGATTTATTTACTGATACGTATTTTGTTTTTTGAACATTTTTTGCGAGTGCAAAAGTCCCAAACGTCCTTGCCTTGAGAAATCGACCGAGTGAGAGAGAAATCACATGAGATGTGTTGACCAGCAAATTGAACCGAACATGTGAGCATTGATTTAGCTGATGGGAGATGGCACATGGCAAATTTTTTAAAATTTTTTAACAAATATATATTCTATACACATTTGTTTATACAAATGTATAAAGTTTCACCAACCCCGCGTCAATTGCTAGTCGGGCATGTATATATTTTTAAAAATATATTTTTTATAGGTGATCGTAGAGTATGATGGTAGGTTGTTATTTAGTTTCCAGATGAGTTTTCCAGAAGATGTATGTGGTTATTCTTATCATCCAAAAAGTTTGTGAAATATTTTTAATAAAAGAAGAAAACTGTCTAGACATTTTTTTATTAGATTTCCCCTAACCAGATATTAAAAATAAAACTCATTAAAATGCTTTCGAAAATTTGCAATTAAAACAAAATTTTATTAAACAACAAGAAAAGCTATGTTAATTCATTAGTCGGTATCTCAACGGCTACAAATTCTTTCTATATCTATAGCTGCTTATATATATATCTATCCACTAGTTTTTACTATATAGGTTCGTTCTGGTTCATTCATTATAGCTGGCCCCCAACTTGTGGTGGTCATTCATGAGTTTTCCCTCATTTTGATGTCACCGACGTCACGCAAGTGAGCATTTAACAAAAGTTATTGACCAACGCCTAGTGGGGGTACATATATATAAACTGAAGTATAGGGTTTTTAAGAACGATCAACCTTTGGCCCGCCCACACACGTGTCATATAACATTGGGCGCTAATGAAATCGCAGGTTTTCGGCTTCTTTTTTTTTGCCATCTTTTGTGTGTCAAAAGCATTTTTTTTTTTTTGAGGGCGTTCGATCACTTGACTTGTGTTGCCGGTACGCATAAAAAGTAAGCCATATAGATATATTTATGATTTGCACAGCCTGAGAAATTTCACACATTTTGATTTTTACCTTTTTTTTTGGCTTGGATACAACAAATTCCCTTGTTAAAAATAATATAAAACCAAAAAAAAAAAGGGGAGCAAAAAAGAATGAACAGCACTTTGACTATAAACAAGAATTTAAAAATACACATTTTTTAAGTCGCATGCAAATTGCTAAAATAATAATAACATCAAACTTGCGCATGTCTTTTTGTTAAATGAAAAATTACCCGGGTACAGTGCTGCTAAAAAGTATGTAAACATGCTAGAAAAGACGTCGATGAAGATGAGCCAGGGTTGGGTTGTCTCAGATTGCTGTAAATAATTCATAAAACTAACATTAGCTGAAACTTTAAATTGAATTTCACTTAAAATATTAAAGACTATGGTTAAAATATTCTCTTTTCGTAAGAGAAAACTGTTTACTTTAAATCTAAAGCTATTTTAATGAAGAATACTATGATCTATTAGTTTTCTATAACAGTATTTTTCCAGAAGTCATTAAGTTAATGGAACTAGAACCAACTCGAACGGAAATAGAAACTGACTATGCAAATTCTACTCGAAAATCCCCTGCCAAAGGTATTTTAAGTAGAAAACCGGGGGCAATCACTCATGCATGTTACTTACCAGCTGGGCTTTGGCCATAAAGCCAGGTAAATCCAAGCTTAAGTCAGCCGACATATGTAGATATATACCTATTGATACAGATACAGATATAGATACGGATACTGAAATACTAACTACTACTAACTAACGCCAACGCGTTGATGGAGGCGGCAAAATTTCGCACATTTTGTCGATCGGCGACGTCGGTTTTTTTCTATATAGTATCATTGTTATTGCTTCTCCGCTGCCTTTTCAGCCTGTCGTCGTGTTCCGCCATTTGTAGAGCTCATTTAATTTTTATTGTTGTTTATTGCTTAACGAAAAAAAAAAAGAAGAAAAAAATTCATTTTAAATGTTTGATTACAACGATTTGTGAAGTTCAGTCGAATTTGTGATTTTCGCGCTGGAGGAGCGGCTCATTCAGCGATCGCTAGCAATGCGATTTAGAACTGCAATCGGATCGAATCTCAATCGCAGTTCAACTATTTGATAACTGAAAACTCAGTCATTCTCAAGTGTCGTGTATGAACGTAACTACAAATCTCAACTAAAAAAAAAACTTAAAACCTGAATAAAAACACTCGAAAGAAAGTGACAGACCAGTTAAAATGCAGTTACTAAATTTAGTGTGCCTCAAGCAAAGTGGGTTGAAAATTAAAAACAATAATATTATAAACATAAATCATTTTTATTTGCCTGAAATTCTGAAAATTCAACTCAACTTTTCACAAGCACATTCATTCCATTGAGTTACCTAAAACTAATTTGAATTTTATGTTATCGCTGAAAGTTATTTCTCATATGCATTCCGCATTTGTCATTTTATAATCCAAAAATAATGCCTAATGCAAATAGCTAAATAAATGATACCAGCTTGATAGATAGGAGGGTGAATTTAAAATGTGAATTTCTGTGGATGTGTTGTGTGTGTGTTTGTTTTGGTTTATTGGTTTTACCAACTGATTTCGGCCAGGGATATTCCCGTATTCTGTTTGTGATTTATTTCTCGGCTGGTGTCGGGATAATTAAATTAAAAAATAACTGCCACATGAAGCTTATAAACATGTCAAAAAGAGATTTATAATTTACTTAAGTGTGGCGACTAGATTTGAATTTAAATAACTTTCAAAAAGATGCTTTTAAATAAGTTGAAGGTTTTAGAAAGGAAGCAAGTATCGGAGGAAGTTTATTATAATTTATTGCAATATTTTTTTTTTTTATTTTATTATTTATATAGATATAGATCAGTTATTTAACTATGGCAGAACTTTTAAACTATTTGAAATATTTTTTCACCACACTGATTGATTGTTTGAAAAGAAAAGAAAAATCAGAACACGAAGATGATCTCAATGAGCATGCTACATAGATTTATCATTGCCCCTGCAAAAAAATATATATATATTCTGAAATCGCTACATCAACTAAATGCAAAAACAAGGAATCAATTACTCTTCCACATGACGTGCTGAAAAGTCGCAAACGGCGGCCAAATTAAAGATCTAATCTAAACAAACAGTCACTTGGGCACTCTTGGCACTGTTTTAGTACTCATCGCAGTACTCATCGTATACTATATACTATACTATAACCCATAGTATCCAATCATTTTTTGAAGAGTATTTCATTCTTAAAGCACCATTGCAGGGCAAACTGTGTCAACAATTAATGCGATAAACGGTATTGCAACTGCAATTCAAAGTTCAAGCAACTCGTTAATGTGTCAATATTGAAATTATGCCGCTGAATTCATTCCGACACCGAACTTTTAAAAATACATCCCAAGTACAAGTATTTTTACAAATTTATTTGATTCTTCTATATTAAGGCTGTCACTCAGAGTGCAATAAACGCAAAATGTGTTAACCGAATGGGATATTTAAATATAATCATCTACCTGACTTAATGGGGATACATTAGCTGGACTGTGAGGTAATTAGGCATCTGAATCGTTTTGTTTTTTTTTTTTAATTGCCAACTTTAGTATACCTAAAACAGAAATTACATGTGTGTGTGGAAATTTTTTCGAAATTAACTATAATGGAAATAGCTAAAGGTTCATTAAGATCCATGCCATTTTTAAGTTTTAACTAAAAATAATTATTTCAGATATTACTCATAAATATTATACAAAGTTTCAAAAATTACTTCTGAATCATTTTTTAATTTTCCATTATGAGTTTACCTAGATTTTAATATCTGTGTGTTGACTATTTTGCTTAATTTAGTTTAGTTTTCTTTAAATCAAAATTTGTATCTTATGATTTAAAAAAACCTTTAGCAGTCTTTAGCAGAAGAATTTATTATTCGACTTTTCTTAATTTTCCGATTCATTTGGATTTCTACGCACTGCCATGATGACGATCACCTTTTGCTTTTGCCAGCCCCAAAAACCACCCCCGTGTTCCGCCCCTCGAGACACTTTTACCATGGCCGAACTGCATTGGAAATTATATGCAAATAGCGAACGAGACGGAGACGTTCTAAAAATAAACAAACCACGCAAAAATCAGTATTGTGTGTGTGTGTGTTTGCGCGAATATCTTATTTTTATAAGTCTTCTGTCGTTTTTTTTCGCTTTGACTATGGCGCATTTTTATGCAGAGCAGAAAAGAATTTCTCTCTATGGCCAATGCAAACTGCCGATCCCATAATCCACCTATAGATACTAAAGATACATTTGTATCTATCTATATGTCCGCCTGTGTTTTATGGATGGCCTTTTGTTCGATGCAATTTACGAATTTTCCATGATGACTATAGGGGGCTTCCCCCCACAAATTAACCCCCTTTCCATTATGTTAACCCAGTTATCTTAACCGCCCAGAGATAACAAAATGGAAAAAGAAGAGAAAGAGAAAGAGAGAGAGTGTGTGTGTGAGATACTGGATTCCACTTTTTTGTTGTATTTGGGTGCGGTATGGAAAACACTTACGTCTGTTGTATCTATGCTCCAGTTTTTTGGGACTTTGGGTCTTTATTGTTGCTAATTGTTTTCGCTTGTTGTTATTATTGCCGCTGGAAACGTTTTTAACTTATCGTGCACGTCAGAGCTGATAAAATCCGAGTATACTAGGTGGTGGGGAAAGTCGGTGAGGGCAAACAGAAGGAAAACCTTACAAATTATGAAACTGACAGTGGAACTGCTTGGACTATTATTTAAATAATAATTATGAATGGTAGAATATAAATATTTTTTTAACTCAAAGCTGACTATCTCCCTTTTCTAAAAATCTAAATACATAAATAATTATGAAAAACTCATTGAACCGAACCAATTTTTAAGAAATAGATTAAGCCGTACCTTAACATACACTTATTATAATAACGTTTTGTTCATTCTGAAAACATTTATATACTAGCATATTCTGTATTTATATAGTTTCTCACTTTAAAAATTATATTTTAATATATCGGTTTGACCTACGATTTGATCTAGTCACCCACTGTGCGACTGCTTAACCCACTCTCTCAGGCGCTCTCTGCCTCTATTCTTCCTCATTCTCTTCATCGTGCAACAGCAGACCGGCGCCTCACCATAACCTCGGCTCACCTCCCTCTTTTTTTCTGTTGATATTTGCTCAATACATTTATTTTTATTTTTTTCTAGTATCGGCTATCTAGACTTTGTTAATACCCTTTAGAAGAAGTTATGATTTCTTTCTTATTATAAAATTAAAGAATTTTATTGATCCCTTGATTGGATATTGTTATATAATATAAAATATATTACGTGGATATATCAAAACAGAGCACTGAGCACTGGGAAGGGCATATCAAAGTCGGATTACTTCAACATTCTTTGTTTTTCTCATACTCTTGTTGTTTTTGCCATCAGCCGTTGGCGCACTTGTTACGACGCCGACGTCAACAGCGCTGCTTTTGGTTTTAGCTTTGCCGTTGCGTTTGTTGTTCTGCTTTTGTGCGCTCATTTGTTGCGCGGCTTTTAAAGCGATCGAACGAAAGATCGCTGCGAAACGAAACGAACAGGCAAAGGAACGGCATATAAGAAAGCTGGAAATTAAGCAAAAACGACACTGAGGCGCGCGTTCGTGGAGTAGGAAAAAGAAGAAGGAGAAGCAACAAAAATCGTGTAAATAATTCTTCAGAGTTTTGCGTAAATTGTTTTGATTTCTTTAGCGAGAAATCAATAAAGCTCAAATGAAAATTTATTGAACTACCAAGTGTGTGTGTGTGTGAAGTCGTGTGACAATGCTTATCAGTTGCACATGATCGTGTTACTCTCGCGTGCTCTCTTTTAAGCTCTTTCTCCCTCTCTTGATATTGATTTATTATGAAATTTATCTGCAGAAAAAGATATTTGTTCATATTTTCCATTTAAATTGGGATTTGTCATATGTCTCCATTTAAGGTTGTTTTTGTTTTTGTAAAAGAAATGTTTTCATAAGCATTTAGGTCCTTACTTTACTCTATTGAATTGCTTTTGTTGATTTTTTTTTAATCAGCATTGTTTTTTCTTTTTAAATTATAATACAAACATACAAATTTCTTAAATTAGCTTTCTTTTCAACATATTTAAAATTGTTTTTTGCTTAAATTAGCTTTCTTACTTTTCTTTTTGGTTGCCAAGTGTTTTTTCTAAGGCCATTTCCTGTCTCCCTCTCGCTTCACATTTTGTTTGTTGTGTAAACATTTAGTTTATTTTATTTTTTGTTTTCCTGGCGCGTTATTCTTTATTTGACTTGGCCTGAGTGTTAAATTGCGAAATTCACCAAGTATTTTGTTGGCCCAAAAAGTTAGTTGGTTAAATTAAGTGGCACATGACACGTCCGATAACTGGAATCGCGTTTTCTTTATCGCTGCTGTCACAGTTATCGAATTGCGGTTATTCTTTTTACCGTTTTCAACCGCAAGCTTATCATGTATTTTTGATGTAATCAAATATAAGAGAAGGATAGAGAGAACGGAGTAAAGGAATTGTAAACATTTTTCAGCTGAAAACTTAATTACAATTACCACACACATTATCTTGTATTTTGGTTGTTGTTTTTTTGTTGCTATAAATAGCTCAATGCGGTCATTGGTCCCTCTCGCACACTGCTCCCTCTCTCGTCCTCTCTTTCATTCATTCCGTGCGATTGAACTTTTTTATGCTGCATGGAAAAAAGAGAGCGAAAAATATATTAAGAGAAAGCAATAATCACTTATACAGTCGAGGGAGGCAAGAGTTGAATGATCGCTAAACAGTTGCGGTCTGAGATTATGTGTACACTTTTATTATATTCATGAAGCAAAATCTTATCAGCAAAAACGTGGAAAAATTTTGCATAAAGCTACGGGGTGAGGAAGCCGTCGGGTTGTGAATAAGTACTATTCCCAGTACGGCATGTGTCGAGCGTCAAAATGTAATTTTTTTTTTTGTTCTTTTGTTTTTGACAAAAACGTGCCGGGGTAATTCTCCGACGACAATAAATCAGTATGTTTTCGGGTTTATTGTTATTTCTTAAATTATTCTATGTAGGTATTTGACCCAAATGAATATTAAAAAGTAATCATTTTTAAGGATGAAATTATTAATGAATTATTATGCTGAAGGCCATCACAGTCAAAACTAAAATAAGTAAACAACAATAGAAGTTACATATTAAAAATAAATTTCATCGAATATTCTATCATTGTATCTAGTGTAATCCAAGTCTTCTATAGATACATCTATAATCCTTTTCCACACCTCGCATCTGGCACCTGGTTTCCTCTGTCTCTTCCCGAATTTCACAACTCCCAGATTGAACCTTAAGCAGCTCCGTTGATCATCTTAACTCGTAGTTCTGTTGCTTTTTGAAAAAAGATAAACCAAGGCAAGGCCCCTACTTTTACCCCGTTCTGATTTTTTTCTCCACTTGCAGAGGTGGCACACATCGCCAACAACAACAACCAGAATCAAAGCAAAGAATCCTACGAAAGAGATCCAAAGGATAAAGGAATCTTTGGTTGCTTTGCCAAGAAGGAAGAGCAGCAGAATAATCAGAAACATAAACAATCGGAAGAACCCAGAGAGAGTTCCAATTCGGGCAGCTATAAGGTGCAGCAAAAGGAGCAGGAACAGCAGAGGGAAAACGAGAACGAGCATCCATCCGTTTACCGACAGCAGGACGAGGAGTTTCATCCGATACAAAAGGAGGAGGAACGCCAGAAAACCCCACCAATATCGAAGCAACCCCGTCCGCGTATTACCCCAAGATCGCAAAGTCAGCCGGCTATAAATAACCGACGACGTCCAGGTACCCCGCCACCACACACAAACGCAGCTGGAGCAGGAAGCAGGAGCATGACCTCCATACCCGCCAATCTGTCTAGCAATAATGTGGCTGGAGCAGCAACGCTACCAGGAGCTGCAGCGCCACCAGAGAAACAACCATGGCCCAACTCTAAGGATGATTACGAGCTTAGAGATGTCATTGGTGTGGGGGCCACAGCCGTTGTCCATGGCGCTTACTGTATTCCAAGGAACGAGAAGTGCGCCATTAAGCGGATCAACTTGGAGAAATGGAACACGTCGATGGACGAGCTGCTCAAGGAGATTCAGGCCATGTCCTCTTGTTTTCATGAGAACGTGGTAACCTATCACACCTCTTTTGTTGTAAGAGAAGAACTTTGGCTAGTTCTAAGACTCCTAGAAGGTGGCTCCCTGCTGGACATAATCAAGCACAAGATGAGGACAGCTAATTGTAAACAGGGTGTTTTTGATGAAGCCACCATTGCAACGGTACTCAAGGAAGTCCTGAAGGGATTAGAGTACTTCCATTCGAATGGACAAATTCATCGAGATATCAAGGCAGGAAATATCCTGATAGGCGACGATGGGACCATTCAAATTGCTGATTTTGGTGTGAGTGCTTGGCTGGCCACTGGCAGGGATTTGTCCAGGCAGAAGGTACGTCACACTTTTGTAGGCACACCCTGTTGGATGGCACCCGAGGTAATGGAGCAGGATCATGGCTACGATTTCAAGGCAGACATTTGGTCATTTGGCATAACAGCTATTGAAATGGCCACGGGTACGGCACCATATCACAAATACCCGCCCATGAAGGTGCTAATGTTGACCCTTCAAAACGATCCTCCCACCTTGGACACAGGTGCGGATGATAAAGATCAGTATAAGGCCTACGGCAAGACATTCCGCAAGATGATCGTCGAGTGTTTGCAAAAGGAACCATCGAAAAGGCCCACGGCTAGTGAGCTACTTAAGCATGCCTTCTTCAAGAAGGCCAAGGATCGCAAGTATCTCACCCAGACATTGCTACAATCTGGACCCAGCATGGAGACCAGGGTGCACAAGGCGGCGAAACGACAGCCTGGAGCTTCGGGTCGTCTGCATCGCACGGTGACGGGTGAATGGGTCTGGTCCAGTGAAGAGGAGGACAATGGTGGCTCTGTCTCTGGTTCGGGATCTGGAGGTGGCCGAAAACACCCATCTTCCGATTCGGATTCTGAGGATAGGCCTATCAATCGTTTGGAAAGAGCCGACTCTTCGGACAGTGATAGAGAAGAGCCATCGCCCGAAATTACGCATAGTGTTTCCTCAGCCACAGTGACACCTGGAGCTCCAGCAGGCGTTGCCCCAGCTGCCGCCCAAGAGATAACAGCTGGAATGGCTCAATTGCCATTACCCAGTGATTCTGCTGGAGAGGCACCACCAGTTAATCTTGTCCTGCGCATGCGCAACTTACGGCGTGAACTCCACGACATTCGCTTTGAATTCGTGGTTGGCAAGGATACAGCCGAGGGCATTGCTACAGAACTAGTAGATGCTGGTCTCGTTGATGCTCTGGACACGCAACCGATGGCCCAGCATCTGGACCAACTGATAGCTGCCAGTGCAACCATGAAAACGATTACTTTCCAATTGAGCTCCGGCGTGCAGCCTGGCGAAGTGCCCGACGAAAGATCACTGGTGGGCTATGCGCAGATCTCGATCACGGACTAATGGTCAGCTGCCAAGGAGCTTGCAGACATGGATCACAGCCAACACAACCCATCACAAGAGCATCCCAAACACCGCCACATAGCACCATCCCTGAGATAAACAAAAAAAAAAAAAAACAAACCAAGCCAGTCTGATGATACGTAAGGCCAGGAGGGTTCGGGATCGGGATTCCCCAACTGGAGAGCCGTTGCCGTTTGCTGCTTTTAGCACTAGACTAGAACTAACTGTATATGCTAGTGATAGGTCTTAACGCGAGCCGATCGTTTACTATATATAGAGAAACTATCTATACACACACATATATATGTTGAATAGGATGGGTCGATTTTGGTTGATAAGTTAAGGTGTGGAAAATGAGATTCAGTTGAGGACCCAATCAGGAAATTCAAATATTCTTGAACTGTAAACTTTGAGAGAGAATTATTTTGTTTTCCGAATGTTATCCTTGATTTATTTTTCGACTAGAAAAATCGGCCTGACCTTAAGTTTTATATATGCCTTACCTACTATGTAAATCCTATGCGCATTGTAATTAATCCATGTGCCCCGCCCCTTGAAACCACTGTCTCCCCTTTTTCTCCACCCGCTAAAGTAGCTAAAGTAATTGAAGAATCGTGTACTTATTCGTTTTCGTTTTTCGTTCGTCTTTAAGTAGCTCTGTACATACACCACACCCGTATATATCTATATATAAATCTTGTTTTTAATTAGCCCACTGAAAAATATCAGTAGATCCTGATGTAGTCCTGCCTTTATATATCATTTACCGATCGATCGCTCCCCAGCCAGGCGCCTTTAATTTATTCTCTAGCAATTTAAACTACTAATTTTTAAATCCTAGCGCCTAAGTCTTGTTTTTGTTTTACTCTTATTATTTTATATATTTTTACCTTATCATAAATTATCACTATATTCTGTATAACCACTGTATGAGTTTTCTTCGATAAGATCGCACTGGATGTAAACTTTAAGTGAGGCCAGAAGAAAAGAGAGAAAGTAAACAGGAGAGTAGAAATTATAGTTCAAGCTCTGTAACTACCTTGAAGTAAATCGTAAATCAATTACTTTAAAACAATGAATACTATTAAACATCATATAGTTAAAGAAAAAAAATTACAAAAAAAATCAAGAAACGAAAAAAAGGAATTACATTTTGCGTTTTTATTGGCTATAATTTGGAAATTGGTACTTAGGAATTGGAATTTGGGAAATAATATTTAGTCTAAAAAGATTATTTAAGTTGTATTTAAAACAGACATTCCTTTACAATCGTGGAAAATCTATTAAATATTTAACTGATATATTGCCCCGATTATTAATTAACTACAATTTTCAAGAAATACCAAAACTTTTTGCAACTTTTCATCTTTATGAAGCTCAAAAGAAACCCCAAAAATAAAAAGATTTTCCTAAAGCTTATAATAATTGCATTCTTCAGAGGAGAACGTTTAGCTCTTTCCTGATTAGTACAGTAAACCATTGATTTGGTGGACCTTCACCTAAGCTCACATAAAAAAGAAGCCAGTGTATGCCTGTAATTTTTAGACTTTTTAAAATACATTTTTAGCTCTAGAACAAAGAAAAAACACAATACTTGCAAGCGTTTTAAATGCAAAGACCTCTTAGATATTTAGCAATAACGTTGCTGTAATTTAAAGTTAATCGAATGGAGTCTTAGCGCCGATTGACTGTTATCAATTGTATACGAGAAACTCGAATTTGAAATAAAAATCACTTTTGGCTCCTAACAAAGAGAGTGTTAATCTAAGATTACTTGCAATATTCTGGATAAATCCTTTAGTAAGTACCAAAAACTTACTAGGGTATGGGGTCTTTACTGTCATGCTATAAACTACGATTTTCTGCCAAAACAATTGCAGCCATGTCGGACTACTTTGAGGAACTAGGCCACACACCCACCGGACCGGAGGGAGCCAATGATTTGGCCAGGAATTTCCGACGCCTCCAGGTGTTGGCCATTATGAATGGCATCGATATGGAGATCGAGGTGCCGGAGGCTTCGAAGCGAGCAATTGCAGAGCTTCCGATCCATGAAATCCTCGAATCGGAAGTGGGCGGTGATTTGGAGTGCTCGGTTTGTAAAGAGCCAGCTCAAGAGGGTGAGAAGTACAAAGTTCTTCCATGCAAGCACGAGTTCCACGAGGAGTGCATTCTGCTCTGGTTGAAGAAGGTAATTTAAGGAGGGCTTTCCTAATAATAAAACATTGTTTTATGTAATTATAATCCTCCGAAACTCTTTAAAATTGTGAATACACAAATAGTGATTTTCGGCAAATTTTCAGACAAATTCGTGTCCTCTGTGCCGTTATGAATTGGAAACTGATGACCCGGTTTACGAGGAACTGCGAAGATTCAAACAGGATGAAGCAAATAGACGAGAGCGCGAGAACACCATTATGGATTCTATGTTTGGATAGTTTTTGATTTTAGTAGAAACATTCATTAATGCCATTTTTGTAAAACGGTATATGGTAAAATTTATAGTACCTATGTATGTACATGTTTGTTAAAATAAAAGGCGGTATAGGGAAAAACTTACTTTTTTGGGAAATATAACCTCTTGATAGTAACTATACAACTGTAAGTAATGATTTGATTAGTATACATTTATTAATTTTTTGATATTGGCGCCCAATATATTTAATGCTGGCCACACCATCCTTCTCAAAGGGAAATTACTTCTGAAATATCGATAGGTTATCTTTTTCTTTTGTTTTACCAACCGATATCCCCATTGATGACTTCCAAAATCTATCTCAGATTTGCCCATTCGTCGGCGTTGCTTTGCTGTGGTTGACAATTACAGTCGTGATACATGGAGCTTTAAATTATTTCTCGGATCAGAGGTCTTTATTATCAAGGTGTGAATTACTAGTTTCTGCTAAAACAATTCAAGACATGTCGGACTACTCTGAGGAACTAGGACCGGAAGATCCAGGCCAGCAAATAGCCAGGAATTTTCGACGTCTCCAGGTGTTGGCCGTCATGAATGGCGTCGATATAGAGATCGATGTGCCGCCAGCTTCCAAGCGAGCGATTGCAGAGCTTCCAGTCCACGAAATCCTGGAATCGGAAGTGGGCGGAGATTTGGATTGCTCCATTTGCAAGGAGCCAGCCAAAGAGGGAGAGAAATTCAAAATTATGCCTTGTAAGCATGAGTTCCACGAGGAGTGCATCGTGCTCTGGTTAAATAAGGTAAGTTAACGAGGTTTAAGCCAATAATAAAATATTGTTGTATAAGCCTCTTTCCCTTAAAATTTCGATCATTCGAATTCGCAGAGAAATACCTGTCCCCTCTGCCGTTTTGAAGTGGAATCAAATGATCCGGCTTATGAGGAGCTGCGAAAATTCAAACAGAATGGAGCTAATGCACCGGACAGCGATACCATCTTTGTGGAATCCATGAAATCATTTTTTGATTCTCTTAGAAATATTATTTAGTGCCATTTTTGTAAAATGCTATATTGCCAAATTTGTATGTATGTTTGTGTTGAAATAAAAGGTGTTATTCGAAAAAGCTTACTTTTTTGAAAAAGGATGTCATTTTTAATAGTAAGTATAAAATTGTAGTAATGATTTAATTATCATATATTCATTCATTTGTTTGTGTATATTCTGCACGCAAATTTAACTCTTTGAAATAAGCGGCCATATTTTTAGTGCTGTCAACACCAAGCATTGCGAACTTTCTTAAATGCGAATTACTTCTTAAATATCGATAGATTTTCTTCATGTTGTACCAAACTATCTACCTCGACGTGTTACCATCTCTATGCCAGTGCTACCAATCCGCCGTCGTGCTTGAATTAAAGTTTCGCGTTTTAAGACCACTGGTTTTTTGGTTTTAATAAAATAAAATTCACTTCGGTTGTACTAGCCTTTGTCTAAAATGATTACTAACGATAGCTGTGCTATGTATTTCGATAGAGAATTTGTGACTACAAATCTGCAGAATCTATTGCGCTGCCCAAAGTGTATAAAATCTTATACATACTCATACATAAGCGATCAAGAAGGTAAGTATTGTGCTCATTGAATAACCTAAGAGTTCATATCATATCCAATGACGTTTTCATTATAAAACAATTAAAATGGTATTTGCTTCTACATTGTATCTGTTTGTAAATGGTCAGCGTTGCCAGCTTAAAATAATACATTCATACACATTTACTTATAAGAAATCTGAAAGATAATCAAATTTTCGCTAGAAAAGGAGTACACATTTTTATAGCGTTCATTTAGTTCTTAATACTTTCAAACATTTAAAATCAATTGGAAACATATTAAATATACATGTTTAAAATCATAATTCTACAATTTACTATGAAAAATACCAAGGTGGCATCTCTGCTCTGCACTTCTATACTCAAGTTACAGTTACTCTATGATATTTTTCATTTCTTTTTGATTTGCTTATTCTAAACATTAATTCTATAAGTTGAAATTAAAATATCTACATATGTACATATGTACATACAAATATTTTCATATAAAAGTATGTACTTATCCATTAAATTAAATACTGTCTAAAATAAGAAAAAATATAAATTTACAATGAATTTGATTATATATATTTAAATAAATGAAGGTCTTCAAATCTATTTATTAAAACAGCAATTCGAAAACTAGGTAATTATAGGAGAATTCAAAAATATTGACTAATATAGTAAGAGTAAGTATAATAATCTTTAAAGACTAATTATCTTCCTCAAATAAACAGAAAGCTGTCGCCCCATTGTGCTGTCATGTGGTCATAATCTCTGTGAGAGCTGTGTGTGGAGCAATCGCCAGGATCTAAAGTGCGCTGTATGCCATAGTCCAGCTCCTCCAACAATCATTGCCAAGGATTCGACCTATAAATCCGTTGCTAATGTGTGCGACTTCTATGAGTTGAACTACCACGTGCTGGGAGTAACCAGCAGATACTTTCAAAGATTCGGTGGGGAAATATTGAATAGTTCCATATCCCTTAGTTCAATCAGCGATGAGATTGTCCTCACATCCAAGTGTAGCGAATGCGGAAATGAAATAGCTTCCGGGGAGTGCAGGCAGTGCAATACCTACTACTGCCGCCGTTGTTTCGCATCGGTCCACAATCACAGTCGTGTATTGCAATCGCACATCTTCCAAACAACTGAGAAGAGCTACTCCCTGCAGTAAGGGATTACAAGTGGGAAAACAATACTTTATATTGCCTTTCACAAATGATTGTCAGGAGCACCACACACCAAAGACCATTTACTGCTTCCAATGCAAGCGGACACGTTGTCCACTGTGCTCCTCCACTTTTCATCGCGGGCACCGCACTCAGTCACTTTTGGTGATGGTTAGTATAGTGTAATCATATTTGTAAAAAATAAAACTAAACTAAAGCTAATTTGTTTTCCCGCATAGAATCAACGATTTGCTTCTGAAATTCCGACGTCCTTAAATTCATTAAATTCAGCTCTACTCAACATCCAAAATGGCCAGGAGGTAAGTCCTATGATACTTTTTTCTCTTTACTTACTAGTCAGATTTATTTCACTATAGCTATAGGTATGTATACAGTTGCATTTACAGCTAGCTATTTACAGTACTTGCTCGCTAAGAATAATTTAGGGATTATACAACCAACTCGCAGACGAATTTCTCATTACAAATATGGCAAGCTATTCCTCCTGTCCACGAAAATGCTTATTTGCTACTTTCCTTGATGGGCATCAGTTGTCCAGTGTTTCCATCGGTTTTGATCTCAATAACCTCTAGTTTTTCCACGCTTACTTTTGTGGTCTCACGGCTTTTCTTTTCCGCATCCTTAGTCTCTCTTAGATTTTGCAATTTATCCTCCTCTTCACTGCTTTCTGGAGCTGTTGGCCCCACTTCAAAATCAATCTCTGGACTTGGTTGTGGTGTGGAGGACACAACAATGGGTTTTAGGACATAGGATTGGGTATCCTGGGTGCTCGTAGGTGCCATTAAAGTTGTGGGTGCTGTTTGATCGAAGGTATCATAGGTCCCACGTTCAGATATATCATCTATCTCATCATCGATAAGAAGATTCCTTTCCGAGCTTTGCTCATAAACTTGAGCATTGATTCCACTACCATGCTTGGGTTCTGGCTTGTGGTTTTTAGGTAGCGCAGGAGTGGATGGAGCTTCAACTGGTTTCTCTGCCTGCTGAGTGGCCTTGCGTTGCTTCTCCAGGCGCATCTTTTCCTCCATTTCTTGGAACTTCATAGCCAAGTACCTTCGATAAATAACAAATTAGTTAATGATTACTCTCAAAGATCTTGTATTATCTTACTTATCCACAATTGGTCCATTGTAGTCCTCGGGAAACTTGGGATTAAAGGGCAGTATGTACTTGTAAAGTCGTTCGTTGAGCACATAAAGCTGGGCGGTAGTCGAACATTTGACATTGAACCACCAATCACAGGTCAAAGCAATCTATAAAACATATGATATTTGCATATCTAAAAGGCTTTTTAAAATCTCTAAATTACCTGACTGAATATCGTTCCATTCGGACAAAGAAAAGATGCCTTTCCTCCATTGAGATCACAGTAATGCCACACTTGGCAGTTTGGTCTCCGGATCGCCAAAGAATCCCTTATACCGCTGTTTAGTACACTCAAAACTGGTTTGAGGGATCTCCGCATAATTGGGATAGTCGATGCCAGCTCTTCCAGTACTTGGTCCTGGATGTTTATCTAATAAAATTTTAAAATTAAGCAAGAAAAGATTTATAATTTGAAATCCACTAACTTGGTCCCTTGGGTTTTACATCCTCCGACTGCGAATGATGCTCCTCTTCGCTACCCGTATTGTAATCGTAATCCTGGGAACTGGGCTTGTGCTCTTCGTGATGCTGCGGAGGATTAGCCACAATGGTTTGCGTTTGCTTTAAGTTTTGTAATATGCGAATCAACGTTTTTATGGAGTTGTCGATGTTGTCGGGTGTTAGAGTTTGTGGTAGATGATTGCTGGCTTGAAGCTTATGAAGGATTTCCGCAAGCGATGATGTACGAATATCTGGTAACTGATCCTGATCCTCTGGTATATAAGCTGGTGTTAATGGAGGTCGCTCATGGGCGTATTTGTAAACGGGTTTTAGTTTTATGGGTGTTACCGTGGATGGTTCTCTGTTCGGTAACTCTGGAATCTGGGCACTGTTGGGTTTTCCAGAAACATAAACATATTTCGGCGTAATCTCAACTGTGTGACTTGAAGTTGGTGGACCCGCTGGTGAGGGTGTGGTCACGTAAATGGGACGCCTTGTGGCCTTGTAACTATGCACTGGCTGCAATCGAAGTGTGGGCTGTTGATTGTAGAGAATGGGAGGACGAGGGGTGGAAATTTCTGGATGCATTTGTGGCGCAGGCTGGTGTTCAATATGTGGCGCTGTCGTGGTAACCAGAATGTATGCATGCTGCGGTGGTTGTGGCGCCGAAGGACGCTCATGCTGCGAATGATGCTGGTCTTCATCCAATGATTGCCTGGGCCCATCTATCAGATAGTCAATAAACTGGGGTGGTGCTGGGGAACTAAAAATGTTTGGGGTTAGGCAACTAGTTAAGATAATAGAATAGAAGTATTGTGACTTCGCATCCTTGAAAAAAGCTTACTGATTTTTGTATATAGTACCATTATGTAAAGACAATCTCGGTTCCCTTCACCAAGCTAATGACTTACCCCAGTGGCTCATCCTTGGCAAACTCTTGACGCGGCTGCTGTGCCTGCGTCTCCGTCTGCAGTTGTGACTGGGAGTGCGACTGCTCTTGGACGTGAGCCATGAGGGCGCGCAGTGGGATGTGCAGCACCTGTTGGCCAGCAGTCGCATCCGGTCTTACATACAGGCCATCATACTTGTTTGGCGTATGATGGGTCTTAGTCTGGGGATGATGAGGATGCAGATGGGTGTGTTGTGGATGGTGGCTACCGGCTAGTGTATTGCTTTGTGCCGGCACCACCGGATGTGAAAAGTCGTAATGCAGTTGCTGCTGCTGCTGCAGATGCTGATGTTTTTGGTGTTTCATACGCTGTTGTAAGTAAAGCACATATTTCTCCTGGGGCGTCATATGCTGATGCTGTTGCTGATGAGGATGATGATGGCCAACACTAGTTGTGGGCGGGGCCATGTTGAAGTAACTTTCGTATTTACTAACATGCCCGAATGCCGGCGGTTTTTGATGTATTATCAATGCGTTTTTAGAGGATGTGGTGGCGGTGGTAACTGCACTCGAATCGGGAACGGAGATGGAAGCGTAGCCCAAGCTGTGGGAGGGTCATCATGCAAAGCGGTTTTGGATTAGGTTCTAGGCTAAAATGTCATGATACTTTTGATTTCTTAGAGGGAGAATTTATCTTCAAGTAACACCTGTATTTTGAATTTTCTGTCCTTACTTTCGATATACCTTAATCATTTCCAAATGCCAATTGAATTCTTGGAAAATTTAACCATAAGTTAAAGAGCAAATAATTCAATTAATGAAATCGGAAAACAAGTGTGAAATATGTTAAATTCTGGTATGGTGGTTGTAAAAACCTCCGCTGTTTGGCGTTGTGTTTTTCCATTTCCCAAACCACTTTTAACAACGGTTGTATGACAGATTTTTGACCTGAGCCCGCTGGCGATTTATGACATGAATTTGCAATTTGACAATTACTACAAGAGCCTGTGAAGAGGTACAAACATACATGACCCCACTGGTCGGTCACAGTTCGATTCCCAACCCATTTTTGCCCACTGGCAGTGCCTTCTGCTGTACATCGAACGGCAATTGGAGTCGCAATCTCGTTGTCGTCATGGATCTTACGTCACCAATTTGCAACAGTTGCAAAGATGTTGACGACGTGGAAGACCGGATTCAAGAGTTGGAGAAGAGCGGACGGAGCCGGAGATTGGACTGGATTGGGTCCGGTGTGCACATTTAATGCAATTGATTTTTCTGCCCAAGGGCATTGCATGCAACACAGCATCCGTCTCAGACGGAATCTCAGAATCAGTTCAATGCGTGCGGCTTAAGTCGAAATATTTTAAAGTTTTTTGGTTGCAAATTCGAGTTTAAAGTTAATGTTATAAACCTGCAATAACTTATGTATCTTAAATGGTCTTCCATTTTTCAACAATAACTATTTTATTAACTTTAAAACTAAAATGCTGTAAAATTAGAGAATGAAAAGATAATTGCTTTGGTGTCTTATGAGAAGTTATTAGAGGCACAAATGACATGAATCTGGTTTAGAGGCAGCAAAATTGGCAACATTTTTAATTTGTATTCTACATGCGATATTGCAACAGCTGGCGGAGCAGCTCACGAGATATTAGTGGGCGTGGCTGTGAGAATTGCCTATCAAGCGAATGGTTTTGGCTACTCCATGAGATCGGAGCTTGACTTACATTTGAGCTATCGCATTGGAGTGGGATTTTTTCCGCCTTTAAGATTCACACGTGACAAGATATCTTACCTTGGATTGTTTTGCACTTGCTGGTGTTGCTGATGTTCCTCCACTGCCTCCTCTTGGACACCATGATTTTCCGGCTGCTGCTGATGGTGCTCCTCAACCTTCTCTTCTTTTTGCACCTCCAACTCCTCATCAGATGACGATGATGATGGTGATGGCTGTTGTTCGGCTGAGGCAACTACACCGACTGCATAATCCGTAACGATTTGTGTTTGATGGGAATTTTTATAGACAATTTCTGGCTGCTTCAGGTTGCTTTGGATGTTGTTGTAATTGATGGTATTGGAGGAGTCCGGCTTGCTGCTCACTGGCGTATAAATAATGGGTATAAACTGTCCCGGCAATGTGTTCTGCGCTGTAAATGGCGTTAAATTGATTTTTGATTGTTTGCCACGTTGGCGTTGCGACTGGGATGATGCCACCAAGCCCGGTGATAGTATCTCAAATTGTTGTGGTTGTTGTTGTTGCTGGTGATGCAGTAGGAGATGATGCTGCTGTGGTTGCTGCTGCACTTGCTCCTTGGGCGATGGCGGTAGCGGCGGAAAATGCTGCACAGTCTTGTGCTGCACGAGTGTAAATTATGAATTACGTGATTATTTATGCTTATGCTTATTTATGATCTATGTATATACGTTCCTAAGTTTATTTATCATGTTATGAAATGATATACCCTTTCAGGGGAAATTTAGTGTAATTTAAATACTTGCCTTGTGCGTCGGGTTCAATGGTTTATAGGCAATATAAGTGGAGCCACCGGAATCGCTTATAGCCTGCTGCTCTTTCACATGACCAGGTGGTGGATGTGGGGCTCCATGTGGATGCTGATGCTGATGGCCTCCAATAGCCAGAGAGTGGTATACCTCAGCTGCTCCGGACTGATAATGCGGTACTGGTGGTGGATGCGGTGGTCCATGGTGATGAGGATGGTGCTTCTGTTGCGGCATGTAGGCCAACGGCACTGGTATCCTTCCTGGCAGCGGTGCCTGCAGCTGTGCCCCTCCAGCCGATGACGAGTGCTTGCTGGCATACTGCTGATTGATGGGCAACTCGGGGGCGGGCAGATAGAAGGCCATGTAGGGTATCAGTCGTCGACTACGCTCCGAGGCACTCAGTTCGGAATCGCTGTTGCTATTGCTGTTGTTGTTGTGGGTGCCTCGAGAGTTTCTGTTGATTTGAGAGGGTTGGGGAACAGAGCCAGTGGATTGGCTGAAGGGAATCAGGATGGCAACTGTAAGAGAAATGTATTTTAGTTTTATAATTTAACAAAAAAACAAAGTCTTAAATTTATTAGCTATTTTTACTATTATATAAAGACTAGGAATTTAGAATATTACTTCAGTTTTGGTTTGGTTTTTCGCTAGAGGGACTCATATCCAATTTTATATTCAAAGTCTTGAGTTTCTATTTGCTCAAATGGCTTTAGGGACCACTTAAATTAGTTGGTTTTCCATTAACTAATTGCTTCAATGGCTTCTTAAACCATTTTTGTTATATAATAAAGTAATAAACTAAAAATAATGTTACAGTTTAGACACTTTCTTATAAAAATGGCAAAACCCAAGTAGACTGTGTTTGCTCGTTCAAAATACACATTCAACACGAATCATAGAAGGTTTTGCAATTACTTTTTATATATCTTTCACTTCTCATAACGTTTGTAGCTTTTGTCAAAATTTCTGGATTCGATTTTAGAAATATAAATACTCAAAGTGGCAAAAAATTTAAGTTTGTGAAATCAACCAACTTAAGGGTAAATATGACCATCAATTAAAACAAAATCATTTACTGATGGTATTACCAAACTATATAGTTGGTAATACTTGGACCATTACACTACACGCGAGCCGAGAACTTCATAAACATGTCCAAGCATACCTCCAGCAGTGGGAGCCGTCAGCTAAGTGCTCGCAACTCGGATGTAGATGCCTTGGCACAGAGGGGCTATAATGTGGGACACAAGATCGGTGAAGGATCGTATGCCACGGTTATTACAGCCGGCTATGCCGATGATGCTGGACATGGTGTACATTTGGCCTGTAAGATTATTGACAAGGCCAAGGCACCCACTGATTTTGTCAATAAGTTCTTTCCGCGTGAACTGGAGATTCTCACCAAGATCGATCATACCAACATTATACAGATCCATAGCATCCTGCAACGTGGTCCCAAGATCTTCATCTTTATGCGGTATGCGGAGAATGGGGATTTACTGTCGCACATCAAGAAATCCGGTCCCATCGATGAGAAACAGTCAAAGATCTGGTTCTTGCAGATGTCCAAGGCATTGAAGTATCTGCACAATTTGGACATCGCCCATCGGGATCTCAAGTGCGAGAATATCCTGCTCTCCAAGAGGCTTAATATTAAACTGGCTGACTTTGGTTTCGCTCGCTATTGTCGGGACGCCAATGGTCAGGAGCTGAAATCTGAGACATACTGCGGATCTGCTGCCTATGCTGCACCGGAAGTTGTTTGCGGAAGACCCTATGATCCAAAATTAGCAGACGCTTGGTCCCTTGGCGTCATCTTGTTCATCATGATGAATGCCAAAATGCCTTTCGATGACGCTAACTTGACCAAATTGCTAGAGGATCAACGCAATCGCAAGTTTGCCTTCCGCCGGAAGCTGCAGGAATTGATTTCAGCCCAAGCCAAGGCTACGGTTTCGGTGCTGCTTGAGCCGGAGGCCAGTGCTCGCTGGAATCTCCGTGAGATTCTTAACTGCGCCTGGCTGCGTTCCTGTGAGGATTCGCAACAAGGCCCCTAAAATGGCTGGAAGACTGGATTTTCCGGTGGTTCCTGAGGAACCTCAAAGGAACCACCCCTAACTCTGTGAGTCGAACGACAGATCGAAGAGCGTGTTGATTTCACAGAAATTCAGAAATTCACTGGTATTTTTCAGATAGAGCTATCTTCTATCTGAAACACATCATCCATATTTATATTTTGTATGGTATTAATAAAAAATGAAAGATAAATTAATGAAGATAAATTACCATTTAAAAATTATTTCAAAAAAGTTATATGAAGAAAGAAATTTCTTCTGTAACTAATTTCTGTACAAACATTTAAGATGACATCCAAGATTTAAACTTCAAACTAGTTTTTTCCTTTTCTATCTATAATATTAAAAGACATTCATTTCATTCAATCCTCTAGTCGATATTGTGCAATAAGTGCAAACCTTACAATTAAACGACTTGGATTGGGGCAGAAGAAACCCAGAGTCAACGGAGCTTAACCACAGAAACCAAGCGGCGCTGTCATAACCGTAAAAGAAAAACTATTATAAAATAGCATTAGGTAAATTTTCAAACAAATTTTTCTTGCATCTTTCCCCACTGCATATGGCCAATAGCAGTTTATTTATCGTGTGCATTGTTGGCCACACTCTCCGCTTCTGTTGGCCGTGTTTAGTGAGCCGTGGCAGAGTCGGCAGAGGCACAAAATGAGCCTCCATGGGGTGGAGACACACACCGCTCTAGACGACAGTGAAAAGAAAGACGTCAGTGATGCGCCACTGATTGTGGAATGGAGTGTATTTTAAAACTTTATTAATATTTAATAATTAGGCTGGTATTTTAGTAGAAGGAGTGTAAGAGACCTCAAATTTTTAATCGTTAAAATTCACAAATCTTAAAATTTAAAGTTGAGCCCTTCTTGGCTCAAATTAAGGCCAAAATCTTTAAACAACAACGTTTAAAGTTTACCTAAAAGTCATGCATTACCTCACAAACTAGTCACTAAATACCACAAATTTAATTATGTCAAATGGCCTTTGGCTTATTATAATAAGACGGCCAATTAATCAAAATGATTTATAATTTAAGGAAATTTGATTTCATTAAACACATTTTAAGTAATTATTTCGCTTTTCCTCTCCTTACTAAACTCTCAGTAGATCAGAAATTACCAAATTTCAAACACAAATTCATTCAGATTAATTATGTCAAAGAATTTTTTTTTTTAGAAAGGAGACAAACTCCGTCTAAACTCATCAAAATGTGTTATAATTTGGGGAGAATTAATTTCGGGTTAGTCTTGTTTAAGCCGTGCCATGTGACCAATCATTGTGGAACATAAGTAATTGTGTGATTTGCTCGTTTCGCCATTCCTGGTTTTGGATTTGGCCTGGCCTAGCCTGGCCTGGCGTAGCATTCAATCGTGTGTCCTGTGCGGCATGTGTTGCAAGTTGCCATGCCGACCAGCAATCTGCAGACTTTGGGAGTCGGGCCCCACGACAGTCGGCAGTCTCACAATAAGTGTCCGAAAGTTCGAGCCAAATCAGAGCTGTGGGGCAGATAATTTGCATTGGAGAGCGGGCCAGGCCAGGCTTAAGTGGCAACTTAGATGCAAGAAAGGTCTTGTTGTTGCATGTGTGACACCAGAAATGGGGAGTAAAGTGTGTGCTGCACTGTACAGTGTTACCACCCACTGCAGTGTTGGGGATTATATTTTAAACTTGAATGGGAATTATCTTTACAAAGTTCTAAGTTTTAGAAATTCTAAAATATTTACTTGAAAAATTATAAATTTAATGTGTTTTTTAACATATTAAAAAATGGTTGCAACATTCTTGTATTTCAACTATAAAAAAACTGTTTTAACTTTCACATCCCTAAACTTAAATATGACCCCAAAATGTCGGTCTTTATTTGATCTTTTTCAGTATGTCATAGCTTGGTTCGTTTGGCAGTTTGTTGTTTTCTTTATTGCCGGAGTAGAGTTTTCATTTTACGACTCTTTTTCATGTGTTTGGCCAGGTTTCAGTCTCCTCTACACCGTACACCTGTGCGTATGCGTAATGCAATTTTGCATTAATTAATATAAGTTGTCTGTGTTGCTGCTTGCATCGCCGCCTGCGGGGCACTAAAATGTTTTGCGATGGCTCATCTGCCATCTGGCTGTGGCCAATATCCAGCCGAGAGTCTCGCTCCCAAGTGGCTCGTATGGAATTAATTTTGGGGCAACGTGTCAGATTTATGCTGTTGTCTTTGTCTGTCGTCGTCCCCCCCTTCGGAAGCTTCTGGCTTATTAGATCTGCCTTCCAACTTCCGGCGCTGTTGTGATAAATCCTTTGAAAAATGTTGTATTTCCCTCTCTCATATATTGCTAATAATTTTCTTTGGATATTTGGCTTTGGGATTTGCAATAGAATCAAGCCGTAAATGGAATTGCCAATCATAAGCTGAGGGTATGAGTTTTGGTTAAAATTTGGATTTATTTTTGGTTAGTTTGTTTTCAAAAAAACTACTGTTTAAAGGAAAACTTATAATCTTTTATAATCTTTTACATATTTGCGAACTTCAAGAACATTTTCTTGACTTAAGCCCATCAATCTTTGGTACTGACTTGCATGTGGTTATATAATTAAAGAGACTATAAAAAGTTATGACAGACGCCTTGCTGTTTTTTATGCTTGCTCTACAATCGAACTTCTTATTTTTTCTGCTGAACATTACTCAATGCAAAAAAGTTTCCCAGGCTGGCTAATATAATTGTTTGTTTCTTTAACAACATTTTGAGATGGCAAAAAATCACGCAATGTTAATAGAAAAGTAGAAAAAGAAGGAGGAAGTGGCTAGCCTAAATAAACTTGTCATGGCCAATGGCACACCCAAGCGAATGCTTTTTCAATTACAATATAAACACGGAGGGGAGTTGGTGCTGTGGAAATGTTGAAAATGCAATTAGTCGGCCACGAAAACAAATAAACGCAGGCAGGCAAAAGTTTGAGAATGATTTCTGATGGAGAGAAATGGTTAGGAGACCCCTCAGGGGATTCGACTTGTTATCGTTGTCATTTGGATGCCACACTCACTCTCTCCCGGTTTTTGGACATTTGAACCCGTGGGTTTTTAGCTGTTTTGTCCAGTTGTCAGTTGGTTTATGGCCAAAACACATTAAGCGAACCGCATAAAAACATTTTAGCCGCAGTCACAGTCGCTGTTTTTGGATGCCTCCACCACCCTCTCAGCTGAAATTCTAGTTCAAATCGAGAGAAGCGTTCCCCAAAAATGTTCGTGGTCAAAATCAGAGAGATGCGGAGTATACAGATATACAGATACAGATACTGATCAGGCCATATTTGCCAAGCACTTTTGCATGTATTTTGCATAAAATTTGCAAATGATTTGTTGAGCGCTTCTTATTTTGTGCAATTTTGATGCGATTTCTGGCGGGTATGGGTATAGAGATAATGGGTATGGTGAGTGGAGAGATGGTGGTGGCATACAGGTGGACCAGACATGGAGTACTCACCTGTTTGGGTTAATTCACTCGGCCCGGAGCCAAACATTTCACGCTTTTTTGACATTTCTGGCGCATAATTTGATTAGATTTCGATACGACAATCGAATTGTTTTGGTCACTCGGTTTTCAGTGGGAAAGGTGGTAAATGGGTGGTTTAACGTTTTTGGAGTGCTACTGCTGCTGCTGCTGCTGCCTGTCCATTGGTGGATTGTTTTCTAATTTGATTTGATTTGATTTTGGGCCAGTGTTTTGTGGCCACCCACCGGTATGTGCATCGCTCAAATGCAATTAAATGCAAATTTATTGCGTAAATATTTACTTGAGCGTGAATGAATTTTAATTTTGTCATCGGCTCGACCATTTCCACTTAACCATTTCGCCTGCCACCCATTTCTAATTTTTCGTTCGCTTTTGTTTTGAAATGCTTTTGGCCAACAAACGCATCATCATTATCAACATCACCATCATTATCATCATCATCAGCTGCCTGAGGTTAGCGAATTGTGCACGATGCTAACTGATTTGCCTGGATGGGATACCCTGGATCCGATTATTGTGCCACTCAGCCTAGCCAGCGAGTCAAAAATTATAATGACCAAAACGATACCAATAGCGCCTTTGGCCATTTATGGTCCAAATTGTAAAGTCGCCCATGTAAGCCATAAACTAAAACTATAAACTCCACATCTGTGTAAAGCAGGCATTATACACGAGTCGGCGGCGGGTCCAAGAAGTCAAGCTCAAATTGCTGGCTGTCCAAAACACAAAGGCACACGGCGGCCTCAGATTTGCCTTCACTTACATTTTTGGCCAGAAGACAAATTATAGAGGCCGTAAAATGCAATAAACCAATCGAACCATTTCGGGTGGTCCAAATATTAGCCAACTAAAGTGCGAACTAAATTGCTACTTCTGTTTTTTTATGGAAACTACTTGCTTAGTGACCTGCTATTGTTTAATAATACTACAAATTTGTTAATTATCTAGTAAATTTGCGGAAATAAAGATGCAGGTTGTAGCTGTAAACCTAGATTTGGTCTTTAGAAAGATAAACTAACAACGTGATTCTTAAGTTTCGGAGTAGAAAAAGGAACTAAGGTCAAGCTAACTATGAATCTCGTTGTCCTTAACTCCCATATATAATCGATTAAAAAACTGATTTTATTTTGGTTTAAGTTAATTCAAACTAAGTGAAATGTTAACTTCATTCTAGCCACACCAATCGTGAGTAATTCGCCATTTGCTGCCGTTCACACCCAAAAATTTGAGACTTTTTTTAACTGCCCACACTGGTTAATGTCTTTAGTTATATTATTTATATCTTATTGTTTCTGTTTAGGCACGACCTTTAAGCTGCATTCTACTGCCAATCGCTGAGAACTTGTCTAATCCATATATCAAATGCAATGTGCCGATCGAATTAACTTTTAGCCAGAACCAAACATCCGCTTTGGGGCAAAACTGTAACTTGATCTGGGCAATGGCTTTTACAACTTGGTAATAATAAAATAATACAAAAATTTGCAACTTTTTTGTTGAGTTTATATTGTTATTTTCCAAACGTTTTCCGCTCGTCGTCGGTGACGACGACAATTGCAATAGAAACAGAAAAGTGAATGGGTTTTCCTTCCCATTCCTCCCAAGCGGCTATCGCGGTACGTTTGCAAATGTCGCAATCTGGCACTGGCACCCATTATAAGCATTTGAACTGTGTTTGTTGACGTTTTGCG